GGCTGCCGGAGACTCACATGCTGCCGAGGCAGCTAGTGAGATGGCTTGGGAGCAGCTTCATTCTGGCCCTTGGCACTCTGTTCTCCCTATATGGCGTGATGCCTACTCCATGGCTTGTCTCTACTTGGCCAGGTTCCATTTTGCTGGCGGCGACTTTAAGGAGGCTCTTAGGGTTTTGGATATGGGAGTGATCATGGGTGGTCCGCTTTTGAGGAGTGATTTGGATTCTGCCATTGCGAAAGTATCTGCTGCGGCGAGGGTTGTTAGGGTTTTGGATGTTGCGGAGAAGGATGATCAATTGGAGCCTCCGTTGGGTTGTGAGGAGCGGAATAACGAGGTGAGATTCGTTTCTTTAAATTGATTTTTATTTGATTTGAGTTTCTTAACTTCTTCCTGTTGGTGATTCGTGATTCTAATGTTTTGAAGAACTTGGTTGCTGATTCTTTCTTAGTTCATTTCTGTCGAACTGACTGTTCTAAATCTTCTAATGGGATTTTTGTTTTTCATTTTTCATTCACTCATTTGTGAAACATTAGTGTTCTAGTCTTACATTTCAGAAACGAAGATCAAATGGATTCATTTCGTAAATCGTGGTGGATTTTATTCTTCTTTTGGTGATGAAAATTCTGCAGTTCCTTGAAGTTTTTTCCTGTAAATGTTTGCTAATGTCATTGTGGGATTACCACGAGGAAGCCCAGGAGCTACCCTGGATTCAAACAACTAGCTAGTTTACTTGCTAGAAGTGTTCTTGTTCAAGTTGAATTTCATGATCAGGGGAAGCATTGGCGTAGACGAACGCTCGTGTTCTATTTGATTCATTTTCACTGGCAGTGCTTAATGATGGATTTCATTACTGTTGTTTAGCATGATGTTATTCTGAAACTTATTTCTTTTGAGCTAAGTATATGCTAGAAGGTGAAAGTCACTCGGAGATCGTCTGAGAAGTTTAGGAAGAAATGATAGTGTTCTATCTGATGAACTTACAACTGTACCTGGATTGAATAAGTTTTATTAACCAATTAGTTCCCTAAGCTCAAGATTTCCTATCAAGCCCTTCAAAGAGTCTCCCATTCCATTTTAGCCAAAGCTTAGAGTAGTAGTCTTATTAGTATTTAGTGACAATGTGACGAGATTCGGGTGCGTTGAACAGATGGGCTATAGAGCATTTGAAGTAAGAACTCCTTTACACATCTAGGGAGAATCACTTGAAACCCAAAACCAGTTGAGAAGATTCCGCCACGAATTAATGGAAAATGTGCACCAAAGAGAGATGATTTAGATTCACATCCTACCGTTGTCAAAAGATATCTAGGATTCCTTGCTGCAATTCTATCACAAGTATTAATGCCACGGAGGAATCATGTCCGAACAAAATCTTAACTTCCTTTCAACATTGGATCTTCCATATCATCTTACTTGACCTGAAAGAATAGCATCATCCACAATCGAGAGAATTTGAGAAAGGGAATTGCAGGAGAACTGCCCTGAAATTCGAATAATATTAAATTTCTGATCTGTTAACTATTTTGATTTTATGCCCCTACCTTTTTAAATTTTTCTCTCTTCCATCATTTCTTATTATGATTGTGCTAATGTTCTGTTTTCCTATGTGGTGTTGATATAATCATATTATCCATGTTTCCGTGTCAATACCAAAATCTGTTCTAACAAGTAACATGGGATGCCTTCGACGTATAGGTTCCTTCGAATTTACCAGTAAAGGCTCTCACTAATAAGATAGTAGCAAAGATGTCTGCTTTATCTCTTGAGGGATTCTTGCGTGAATATTTCCAACCAGGTTTCCCAGTTATTATTAGTGATGGTATGGCTCATTGGCCAGCTAGGACAAAGTGGAAGAGCATGGATTACTTACAAAAGGTTGCTGGCGACCGTACGATCCCAGTTGAGGTGATTTATTTATCTGTTCATTTGTTTATTATCGATACGATGAACAGTCTTGGATCTTGAGAATGTGTGTGTACCAAATTGTATAAAGTATTTCTTGACTATTATTCTTTACAACCCTTTTGAGAGGTTTGTTTCCTTTCTTGTTTCTTTATATAATTTTTTGTAATTTTTCTTCCTATTGTAGCTTAACTCCTGCTGACTTGATATTGGAACTGATAGATTTTCCACCCCTGAACTGAAGGCTTGTAAAGCTTTTATGCTTTTCAGGTTGGGAAGAACTATTTACGTCCAGAATGGAAACAAGAGCTTATTACGTTTTCCGAATTTCTTGTCAGGATTCAGTCCAATAACCGTTCTGATGATATAACGTATCTCGCTCAACATCCATTATTTGACCAGGCACGTATCCATACATAACTTTATCTGCTTAGCATTGTATGTGCATGCATATCTGTGTGCATCTTATTATCTGGTAGATTCTTTGAAGAACATAATGCTAACCTATGGCATTTAGTACTGCAAATATTATTAAATGTTTTTCTTTCTTTCTTCAAAGACAGATAGATGAGCTCCGGAAGGACATTTGTATTCCTGATTACTGTTTTGTTGGTGGCGGAGAGTTAAGATCTCTTAATGCTTGGTTTGGCCCACCTGGGACAGTAACACCTTTACACCATGATCCTCATCACAATATATTAGCTCAGGTTTGTATTAACAGATGATTGCTTGAAACGATTACACTGGAAAGCATTGCAACTTTTGTGAGCTAATTCTCATTTTTTATTTTTCCTTTTTTCTTTGCATCTTTTCATTTGGTACTTCCAACCCTACATTTTGAACTATAGGATGGAATCGTGCTTCGACAATTGAATAAGTCGCTTCTTAAGGCTGAATATAAAAAGGGTTTGTGTCATTTAGGATTCAGATTTTCAGAATATTGATTCACTGAGTAGTAAAACTGCAAATTTTTCTTAAATGAACCTGTTGACTTGTGAACTGTTGGCAAACTGGATAGAGTCTGGAGACAGGAAGTAAAAGCATACTCTGTTGCGAGGAAAAATGAGGTGGGGATCGAGGGAATGTGATAGTTCAGTTCTATTGAGAGGAATTGTGTTGCTGCTTTGGAAAATGGTAGAGGTCTTGGAGATAAAAGATTTTAATAGAAACAAGGTCTATGAGATCTCGGTTGGGGAAGAGAACGAAGTATTCTTTATAAGGGTGTGAAAACCTCTCCCTAGCAGACACGTTTTAAAAACTTTGAGGGGAAGCCAGAAAGGAAAAATCCAAAGAGGACAATATCTGCTAGCGGCGGGCTTGGGGTGTTACAAATGGTATCAGAGCCAGACACCGGGCGATGTGCTAGCGAGGCCACGAAGGGGGTAGACATGAGGCGGTGTGCCAGCAAGAACGCTGGGCCCGATGAAGGGTGGATTGGGGAGCCACATCAATTGGAGAAGGGAACGAGTGCAAGTGATGCTAGGCCTCCGAAGGAGGGTGGATTGTGAGATTCCACATCGGTTAGAGAGGAGAACGAAACATTCTTTATAAGGGTGTGGAAACCTCTCACTAGCAGACGCGTTTTAAAAACCTTGAGGGGAAACCCAAAGAGGACAATATCTACTTGCGGGTGGACTTGAGCTGTTACTGTATGCTGAAAAAATCTCAAACTCTTGCATTGCAATCACGCAGGTTGCCCTATGCACTTTTTTGTGACCGTCCTATATTTTTTCTCTACTGGCATGTGTACATATATTTACATAATCACGTTTATCTGAAAGAGGGTGTGGATAGTGATGCTTTGCACGCATAGCAGAAGATGCTGCAAGCAAACAACAAAGAAATTGCTGTTAGTTTAATACTTCGATACTTAACTGTTTCCTTTTGTACAGGTTGTAGGCAAGAAGTACATTAGGCTTTATGATGCTTCATTGTGTGAGGAACTTTACCCATACACTGAAACTATGCTTTGCAATTCCAGCCAGGTAACCACTCTAATAAATCTTATGTGTGATGACAAACTGACATGATTATGGTTTAAAAAATTCTGGAGCATAGCCATGAGAATTATGTTTTCTTCATTAGTTATCTATCACCTTATCATTGTTTCTTAAATTTGCTTCATTGATCTGTCGAGTGCTATTCGTTCCACTGTTTTTGTGTTTTTACTCTTTACAACGATCACCGTGTTTCGAGCTTATGTTGTTCGTAAATATTACTTTGAAGGTCGATCTAGACAACATAGACGAAAAAGAGTTTCCAAAGGTGGTGGACTTGGATTTTGTGGACTGCATTCTAGAGGAAGGTGAGATGCTATATATCCCACCAAAATGGTGGCACTATGTTCGATCCCTAACAACTAGCTTTTCTGTTAGCTTTTGGTGGAACAATTGTGATGAAAATTGAACCGCTTCCTGATATTAATGCCATTTTTTGTTTGCCCTCTCATTCTTTGTTTTGATATAGAACATTGAGAAAACTATATTATTAGCCTCTGCTTCTAATGATTTGGTATGCCCCTTACCCACACAAGATGGTGCCTTTGTCATAATGTCAATACAGATGGTGTACCAATTATTATTGCACTTTTGAAACCCATTGTCGCTCTTGATACAATGCATTATTGTTTTGGCCTCAATCATTCATGTTCTATGGTGTCACTGTTGATGATGGATTTCGCATTTGTTCGTGCTGTTCCTTTTAAGTTCATCGCACCAATTTTTAATATTCTCTTGTACAATGTAGTGTGACATGAATTGAAAACGCAAACACGTTTACGAAAAATATGAATCCAAGCTTAAAAGTTGCAACCGATATAAGATTTGCGTTTCGAACTGTAAATTTGCAATCTTTTGTTCAAAAGTTGCAATCGTGAAATATGAATCCAAGCTTAAAATTACACATTCCATTGATCAACTATGATTTGAAGAGTAATTAAATCAGTAATTTTGAGCAAAAGATTCTCGAAGACCTAATATGTATGATAGTATGATATTATCGAATAGTGATTTTAGACTCAATACTTTATAAGAAATGATGCATATTCTTACTTGAAACTTAACAACCATAAATTAGCTTCATATTAGATTCGTTCATGATCTAAACAACATATTGATATAACGAACAAGTGTTAAAAAAACACAAGAAAATAAACCACTAAACTTGTTATGATCTGGTGTTAATAGATATGATATTCATATACAATGTGTTTGGAAGAGCATAAAAAGCAAAGCAACGGACCATCACTAACCCACCTGAGTTCCCAAGCCATTTTTTGATTACTCGATAGAAACGGCCTTTACCACTTTTTCCATTGAACTTAAAAGCGGCCTCAAATGGGAACTCTGGCTTCTAACATGATCGGTTCTTCTGGGAAATCATGATCAAAGATGAATTCTGTAACCAATCCTCCCAAAAATCAGGATTTCATCGAAGAGAAAGGGCTATTTATGAATTACTACTGCAATAAATAGTAAAGATAAGATATAAACAAACCTTGGTTCCAGCTATGATGGTGCCATTGAGGGGGTGAGCAGCACAAGAAGTAACTCCTTCAGACAACTTCACAAACCTGTTCTGTCGTCTTTTGTTTTCTCCTCCAGCACCATATATCTCATCACTGGAACATGAAAAAGGATACAATAAACAGCACAAAAGAATATCAATCTCTTCTCTATAACATAATGTTGATATTTGATAGATTCAAAGTCGTAGAATGTTAAGGATTAATGATACGTATATTGCCATTTTATTGTTTTTCTTTCACCAACTATTGGTGTCTATAGCTGCCCATTTTGTATTGTATTCTTACAAAACCTACAAGTTTGTTCATTAAATTCTTACTTAAAGTTCACATGGCTGGGAGAGCGGACGTCGGGATGAAAATCCAGAAGATGAATGCCTTCATCAGAAGGAGACCCAACTGAATAGATCTACAATATACCATTGCAAAATTGATTAGGAACTTGACTGAACAAAACTCCAGGTATACTACCAGTAACTCGCTATGAACAGCTGCACATGCTACGAATCCGCATATCATCACAGTATGTTACTATACTAAATAACTTCCGCGCTAATATTTACTAGACCGAAAACATCTTTTCATCTTCTATGAACCAGAAATTAACAGGTTATGGTAGGCCAATATAACTTTCAATTGCTTAGACAGACGTCCTTGTTTGTACAGCACGGGAGATTTGCTTACTGGATAGCTCCTTTCTATTTAGTTTTACTATTATTATTATTATTATTTCTGACTGAGCATCTACCAAGTAAGAGCCTAAATGCAAGAGAATTCCTAAATCAAAATTCGCACATAAGAAAATTATTGGACTTTGCAATTTACTTTAATAGCATAGCATAGACTTTTCTTCACATGATCTACAAACTAAAGTGTTGGGACTATTTTCACGATCCACTCAAACCTCATACATGAGACATCTGGAAAGTTGGAAGTTGCCAACGAAACAAATAGAAGAAGAAACGGTTACAAATAGTCGAGGATAAATTGATGGCCACATATTGTCATTATCCTATATGATTGAAGAGATTAACAGAACTACTTTGGTCGTGCAAATGTTCATACATAACGCCAGGTTTCTACTTGAGTCAAAAAAATGATGGAACAAAATAGAAGTATGGGTTAAGATAACTTACAGAATCTGTAGGCAGCCATGATGGTTTTCTCAACAATAATTGATCTGTGGGCATGTTGGAATCATTTCTACTCTTTCCAAACAAAAAGAAACAGGGTTACAAAAGTACCTGATTCTTCACATAACGAATATCTTCAATAAGTTTAAATTTACTTACAACCATGCTGGGGGCGGGCAATGAATATGTGTGACCTGAAAATTATAAACATCTAAAATGCCTGACCTGAAGAAGCATAGGAAAATTATAATCCTGGATAATCTTTTGTGAACATATAAAATGGCCAAAATTTAACGAAACCTAAGAGGTTAAGCTTATAGATGCAAACAACTCACATAGTATCAAAGCAATAGAAGTTCTAGAGTTCAAGTGTTTGTAATGTTATTCCTCTTTTAACTCCTTAATAGTCAAGAAGTTAGATGAGAGTCAAAATTATTATCTTGAGTCCACATGTAGGAGCAAATGCTGAAACAATATCAAATGATTCCGCAAGGGAAAGGGTAATCTCAACGCAATTTTAGCTAAATCCATTTTGTAATCTAGGTAGAACAGTCCCAAAATACAAAAATACCAGACATGAGAGACAAGATTTATGCTCCAGTAATCTGAAAGGCTAGAGGGTGGGATGGTAAATGAGGTTTACACTCCTCGAATAGATACATTCTTCTCTATAATTTGTTACCTTTCAAGTTTAAATTGAGTTCTTATTTGAACCTATGGTAGGAAAATAGTTAAATGGTGATTAAGTAGTTTGAAGACTAAAATAGAGAAATATCAAGCTCAAAAGCCAAGAATGCATTTCTCAATAATGATCTTAAAGAGGAGGTGTTTATGGCTTATCATCAGGTTTTGGAGTGGATCTTGGAGTTAACAAAATATGCAGGTTTAAGAAATCTCTATATGGCCTTAAACAATCTCTTAGAACCTGGTTCAAACGTTCTTTGGGAAGTTGTTACAAATTATAGTTTTCTTCATAATCAAGTAGATCATACATTTTTTATACACGCTGGAAATGACAAGATAGTTATCCTAATTGTGAATGTTGATGATATAGTTCTTACAAGTAATGATGAGGCTAGACTAGGGAGTTTGAAGGAAAAACTAGCAAATGAATTCTAAATCAAAGACATGAGAATTTTGAAGTATTTCCTAGTGATGAAAAATTTCAGGTAAAAAAGGGTATCCTTGTCAATAAAGAAAATATATAATGGATTTGCTTGAAGAAAAAAGTTTACTTGGTAGTAGATCAACAAAAACTCCAATTGAACCAAATTTAAAATTGCAAGTTGCAATAGAGGAAAAAGTAAAAGATAAGGAAAAATACCAAAGACGAGGCCAGTTTGAGGAAGTTTACAGGATTTTAAGATATCTAAAAGGAACCCCAAGAAAAGGCAGACTTTTTAAGAACATGACCACTTATATTGTTGAAATTTATAGTGGTGTTGACGGGGTAGGTAGCACCACTGATAGAAGATCTACTTCTAATTATTACTCCTTTGTTGGAGGGCATCTAGTTGCCAGACGAAGTTAAAAACAAGGGTGGTAGCTAGAAGTAGGGCTGAAGAAGAATTCAGAGATTTAGCTCATGACATTTATGAAGGTATTTGGGTAAATAAATAAAAAAAAACTACTAGAAGAATTGAAATTCGTCAAGAAAGGCGTCTATATGTGTTTAGTGAGACAATAAGTCATCTCCATAGCTCACAATCCAGTCCTTATTAGGACAAAACATATCCAAGTTGAAAAATACTTTATAAAGTAGAAGATTGATATGTATTCTCTATCTTCCTACAACAAAGCAAATTATTAGGTACTAAGAGACTTCCAAAACTACGATTTGAAAAGTTGGCATGGAATATACCTTCAAATCAGCTTGTCACATTATAGTTATACCTCCCTTATTGTTAATTGGGAAGGCCTTTTGAAAACATCATAGATATTACATTCTTTTTGTAAATTTCAACCATCAATGAAATTGTCTCTTACAAAAAAAAAAAAAAAAAAAATGGTTTATGTTTGTGATATTTTCCTTCATTAGAATTATTAGGTGTATTTATATTGTAATTATTTGAGTAAGTTTTTTCTTTTGATGTATTAGATCTTTACTTCTACATAAAAAAAGGTCCCTTGCAACTATTGTAAGTAAATGAGAATAGACAACTTTTCTATTCAATAGATGATATTTTGCAATAACTCATCGTTTAAAGTAGGAATATGAAAGTTTCTTTTAGCAACATACCATCCGTCGTCAAGATGAAAGGCCAACTGATAAGGACAAGCTGGGTTGAGATCAATAGAGTGTATTTCCTTCGGAATGATATTCGCTTGCTCCTACATTATGATGCACAAAGGTAAACCACACCTATTGAAAATTATGTCTTGAAATACAAAGAACAAAATAACTAATCATTGTATTGCATTTACTTCTGCATTTCTTTTGCAAATAGAATCGTCTCAAGTTCAAATTAACATTTACGTCCTTTCGAAACAACATAATTGTTCTCACTGTGCAGCAAAGTTAACCTTATCACAATTTCCATCATAGAATTTAAATGTTAAAAGAAATATAATTCTTTTGACGTGAAAAAACGTACATCACATTATGCTTTCAATTGAACAAAAATTTCCCATCCCAACATGTACACGTGCTAATCCTTGGGGCACTTGGTCCAATATATATATGTCTAAGGACCTTGCACTTGATGATGTTTACGTACCAAAACTGAGGTGCAATTTGATCCCTTGTCAGCCAACTTGCTAATAAGATATCTTACTAAACTTAGGCTTGTGAATGTGTGTTTTAGGATTTAATTCAGGGAAGACACTTGGCATTGATGAAGAGGACTCTGAGCTCTACATCCTTAAAACTCCTAACTTCTCTAAACATTCTAAATGGTAAGAATTCTACTTCCTAGTCTCTAGTATTCATGCTAATTTATGTATTTACTTATTTTTATTTTTTACATCCATAAATATTCAGGTTGGCTTGCGCAACTTTGACTTTTACGAGACAACCACTTGATCTGGTTACATTTAGTAGCCAAGAAAACTTGTAGAGTCTATAGTATTCATGAAAATAATAGCCAGTTTATATTATAGCCTTATCATTTGGATCAGCCGAACATCATGTTAGCTGAAAATATTTTTCCTTCTATTTTTAACACATAATCTTTGTTGTTTGTATGAAATATATTAACTAGTCAAGCATGTTCGGTCTCTTTATTCCCATGCACTTACAAAACTTCCCACCGTTTTTATATACTACATAGTGATGTTCGTGGGGCAACCATTTTCAACAATCTCATTGCAAGAGACTGTTTTTTATTAAAAGCAACAGCGGACAGGAATAAATGATAGTAAAATTTTCAGTACCTTCAAAGTCCCAATTTTCTCTATAATTGAGGCTAACTTCAATGATTTTAGAGGAGGATGGCATACCTGCGTGAAAATGCTTGAATAAATATGCATGCAATAAAAGAATATGATGCTTCAATATAGAATCTACGGAAAATGAAACAACTAAAGAAAGAAAAAAAAACATTATGACGAAACTTGTCATCGACAGGGTATGGTGAGGGTCAAATTTCTGCGTAAGCGTAGCCAGCATTAGCTTAGTTGAGTTACAATCAGACCAACAGGCCATCGGGCAACTAAATTGTTCCCCCAGGTATCCTACTCAGAGTAGATTATTTTAATCTACGACGGTCCGGTGCCACAAACTAATAGAGAAAAAGGTTCAGGTAATGAACCATATCTTAATTGCATACACATTCTGTTTCCTGAATAGCATCAAGCAGTCCCTGCATGGTCATTTAAAAGCAAAACAGAAACAAAGATAACGTTGCTGCCTATAAAAATTGCCTTCTGATTGCTTTTTGGATTTGCAATATATATGAACCACTACGGTAATCATCCCCACATGTAAATACTGTAGTCAGCTACTTTTTCTTAGAGGAGGTTTTTGTTGCTTAGGTTAAAATTTACTACATCCATTCCCCTTGAAGGTTCGATTCTTAAAGTACACTCCATACATTACTTGGGAGACAGCGTGCATTAGCGCTTGCCCTGATACCACAGTATTATTAATAAATAGGATGAATGTATTAAACTGCAATTTTGAAATTACAATTCATTTTTTATAGAAAAATAATTCTAAATGCACTAACTCATTTTTAATTACAGACCTTATTGAGAGAATTGGTTATACATCGAAAAATAGTGAAAAATTCTATTGACTGAATCAAAATAAGGGGAACAAAATAAGAATAACCTTAGAACAAATGAGAACAACAAGATACTAGCTTTTTATCCCATTAAAAGAAAAAAAAGGAGTTGACTAAACCCATTCATCAATGGCATCAGCATTTTTAGACCTATTACCTTTCTTTTTTCTTTTATTAGATCTATTAGTTCTATTACCTCTTTATGATTTTGAAAAGCACCAGATGTTCTCCCTCCACGAAGATCCCAAATATAGATAACTCCATGCTTACCAGCGCCAAAGATAATCTATACCAAGATATCAGTGTCGGAAGATGAAACCGAAGTTACTTAAATGGTGAGAAATCTAACGCAGAAAATAAAAGAATGTGACTCATGGGGAACAAAATTGTCTATATGTATTCCAACAACAAATACCTGGTTTTCATCATTCAGCTGGATTCTGTTAAGGGTACTGCATGAATTACTAGTTAGCTCAAGACATGGAAGTTTTCCAATTCTTCTGTCCCACATACTGATTACACCACATGTATCAGATGCAAGTAACCTGCCAAAATGTTCGCAGAGGACAATATTTCATTGAACTTTTCTACGATGAAAATAGAGATGATTAGATTAGGTGTAAAAACATTAAGTTCCAGTGTTCAGAAGAAACCAAAAGTTAGCATTATCAATAACCAATAATGCCACAATGTCACTATGTCCCATGCATTTAGTATTCCATTAGGAAACACTTTACCATACTAAAAAATTTGTTTGAACACTTTAAAATTTCAATTTTTGGTCCATCAGAGATGTCTATTTAAAGAAGACACAAGTATCAATTTCTGGAAACTTTAAGTAAAGTTCAGTCCATACGTCTATTCCAACACATGATTTTGTCCCATTTTTTAGTCTTTAGCGCATTCTTTTCTTTTTTTTTTTTTTTTTGTAATATGTAAAAGCTGTTATTTTACCATTTTTTCCTTTGTACTCCTTTTATACTTTTGTACATCAGTGACTATTTGAGACCTGTCTGCTCAAATCAAACAGAGAAAAAATGAAAACATCGATGTTATACAACATGGTATCGAAATGACTATTTGCATTGTTTCTCTTCTTGCTTCATTGACAGCCAACTCATGATTTTCTTTCTTTGATCCATCAATTATCATCTATATATTAGTTCTTGCCAATCACTGAATCATTTGGCATGGTCCAAATCAGACATCATATATATCCTTCATAGGAGCTTTTTGCAGGATCTGAGTCTCTAGAGGAAGGGCGATTTGTGACTAGGTTTACATTTAATTCTAAGGAGTTTTGGAACTATATTTGGCCTACTATTCTCAACAATTGAATCCCCTTCATGTAGTCTCAAATTTGGTTTCTTTGTTTAGGCTACAATTGTAGTAAACTTTTTTTTTTATTGTCCATTCATATTATTTCTTAACGAAAGCTTCATTTTCATACATTTTTTAGAAAGAAGAAACGTTCAAGGTAAGTTCAACATTGTTCGTTAATCCTTAAATGTGAAGAGAGAAGGCAACCCAATAAGAATAGAAATAAATATGAACCAGTTGTCTTATTCAATTCTTTCTTTCCATAATTATAAATTATAATGGTTGTATATTTATTGTCCATACAAATAAAAGAATAATAAGGTAATGAGTTGTTTCACCAACCTTGCATTATTTGAAATAAATGCTATGTCAGATAAACCTTTATGATTATCAGACCCTGAATTATTAATTCTTTGTCTTACTCTCAACACCTACGAGGATAATGAATGAAATTATCAGTTCATGGTCAAACTGACGATCAGTATATTTATCAACAATTAATTTTCAACCGTGAAAAGAAATAGAAAAAGAATTATATGGTGAATGCAACAATGGTATAAATTAAGTTTCTTAAAGCATAAATATGCTTATAACAATATCTTATTTTTCAAAAAACTAGCGCACAAACATAAAGATGGACAAACTTTCACTGTTCACACTAGCAAGCTTATTTATTTGCACAAGCAAGTTCCTCCATTTGAAGTGTTATGTCTATGATGGACAGAGCATATATATTGAACATTCAACAGGACATTATTTTACAAATGAATTGTATTGGTTGTACTTGCCATTTCTAGAAAAATGGAAACTTGGAAAGCTAGATGGTTGTATTGGCATTTGTTGTAAAAATGGAAAACTTGAGAATTTAGCAAATCATAAAATGAACTCGGAGGCTATAAAATTCCAAATATTCATTGAAACCGACGAGTATTTTTTTTATGTAAAGGTGAAAGAAGAACTTACTTCGACTGGTTTGGAAGAAATATAACTAATGTCAAAGATCTTTAGTTCCTTACTTTTCATGGACGTACAGACCACCTAAGTAGAGAACATATGTTAGCAGACAGCAAATATGGGAAGAAGCCACTAATAAGTACATAATTCAGCATCAGAGTCAGTATAAACAACAGTGCATTCATCGGGAATTAATAAAAAGTAGAGACAATGGTGAAGGCATTATATCATATTTGAGTAATAGATACCCAACTATTTATAGGAACTTTTAGATTAGCATATGACTCCTATATATTACACGACAGTCACTGTCCAAAATGCAGCAAGCCCCTGAACGAAACAAAAGACCATACAAGATGCTCGGACCGTTACAGATGAGTCTTATATTTTAGTATTTGGAATCCAGAATTATTTTGTGATTTTGTACAGTTATAGCATCAAACTAGAGTGCCTAACACAAATTCATCGAAATTACTTCAAGCAAGGAAACGGCTTGCATAATGGGGCATCAGAATAGCAACCAACATTTTGTTTTTTGAACATTCAATGGACTATTCTACAGCAATCTATTGAGGACAAAATGATTCCCATAATTACAAGGAAAACGACTAGAACAAGAACCTCATCTTGATTGGCAGGATTCCAACGTACAAAGTCAAGCTGTTCATTTAGGGAAAGGTGCAGTAAATGTTTGGTCTCATCTTCACTCAAGCCTATAAGTCGAAGGAAGGTACTTTAGTCATCAAAATACTTAAATGCACCCTATTTAGAGATATATACACTGCGTAAAAACATGCTTCATATCTTTGTCACAAAGCTTAGAAGAAAAAGAAAAGAAACGTCCACAAGAGGAACGAAGAACTTAAAAGAACAAAAGTTACCTGCTTCATTAGTCTGCAAATAAAGACTCTCAAAGTCATGCACTGTTAAACAACCTGCTTTCGTTGCTGAAACCAAGTATATTCCCTGGAATAGATTTCCATGGATGCGTATGTGGATGGGGGGTGGGACAGGTGTTTTGTGAAAAACCAAAGAATAAAAGGTTAGGATATTGACAATGTAGGACAACAGCTGAAAGTAATGATCCAATAATTCACCTTGTTGTCAAAGTCCACATCAGATATGCCTTGTCTGACAAAAGAATTAAAATTAGCTTTTTTTTTTTTTTTTTTTCCTCCCTTAATTGAGTAGAGAAGGAAAGGAAAAGCTGATAGAGAACACTTCATTCTTTTCTATAAAAACAAAACTAATATTTTGCCTATGGTTTTCCTTTCCTCATAATTTGCCATTTCTTAGCCATTCCAAATATTTTTAAATGAAGGCCCTTTCGAGAATTGGCAACAGGATCTGGATAACTGAAGAAGGTCACAAAGAATAAATTTTAAAAAATGCACAACTGTCTCCGGTTTTCGAAAACGCAAAGAATCGAAGACCTAAAATTTGCATATTAATAAAAGAAAAACCAAATATAGAAGAGAACATGTTGAGGATTATTGGAGTGAGTCCCACATTGGTTATTTAGTGGAAGATCATGGGTTTATAAGTGAGAAATACTATCTCCAATGGTATGAGGCCTTTTGGGGAAGCCCAAAGCAAAACCATGAAAGCTTATGCTCAAAGTGGACAATATCATACCATTGTGGAGAACCATGATTTCTAACATGGTATCAGAGTCATGCTCTAAACTTAGCCATGTTAATATAGTCCTCAAATATCGAACAAAGAATTGTGAGCCTCGAAGGTGTAGTCAAAAGTGACTAAAGTGTCGAACAAAGGGTGTACTTTGTTTGAAGGCTCCAGAGAAAGGAGTCGAGCCTCGATTAAGGGAAGGCTATTCGAGAGCTCCATAAGCCTCGGGGGAGGCTTATAGTGAGCTTTGTTCGAGGGGAGGATAGTGGAAGATCATGGGTTTTTACAAGTGAGGAATACTATCTCCATTGGTATTAGGCCTTTTGGGGAAGCCCAAAGCAAAGTCATGAGAGCATATGCTCAAAGTGGACAACATCATACCATTGTGGAGAGGCGTGATTCCTAACCGAACAGAAAAAGGAGAACGACGAAAAGATACCAACAATTCAACACCAAAGAAAAGAACACCAAGAAGAGTCAGGAATAGATCCGAACCAAACCAAACCCAAAAGGAAAAATCAATTGACATCGTAATGCTTGAATGTTGTATTATAGAGATGTACTGACTTCTTAAACGGCAGTTGATGATCCTGAGCTCCATTGGCAATTCGATTCATCTGCAGACTCTACATTCTCAGCATAACCAGAATCTAATTCTAACCACATAGTATTGAAAATGAAACCGGAAATTGAGTAGAGAACAACGTACACTCGTTGGACAAGAAACGCCGTTTATATGATATAAATGAGGAAATGCACCAACCTTTACGGAATGAAACCAAACACGCACTGCTATTACATGATACTCAAGAGTAGAGAGAACATTTAACATACCAAAATACCAGAACAACGTCGAAAATGTACCTCGGTATAAGATTGCACAAGAAGCACGGACAAGTCCTGGCGATATTTCGGATCAAACTTCCCATTCAATTCAACGGTGCTCAATTTCCACCTATTCCTGCACAAGTAAGCCAACTACGAAATTCAATATAAAAATCCCAAAAACCAGAGAAAAGAGGGCGAAGCAATGGAATCAGAGACAAAACCTCCTCAACGGTTTAGGAACTTGAGATATTGATTCGGAAGGCACCAAGTATTTGTCCATGGCGGCTTCCTGAAACTGAGGATGCTCGAATGAGATACTGTACTCGTTCTTCGGCACCAGACCTTTTCTCCACCTCCTTTGCGGTTTACAGGTTCATTTTTTGCTTTGGCCGGGTAATAGAGACGACGGCGACCAAAAATGGCCCCTTCTGCCCGTCTGTCGGCTTACAATTCCGGCGAATGTAGTCTGCGAATTGTGAATGGCTATCAGTTGTTTCTGAGGAAGGTCGGGATTTCGTGAGCCGCTTTCCCGCCATTCGGCATTTTGCTAAACTGCGCGGGTGCCAGGTACATATCCTACCTACGATCGTATGATGAGAAGTTACGCTTTTATCCTCCGGATCGTTAAACCTAAATAGATATACTCAAATTTATGAATATATTGAGATATATTTTAACAAAAATTTGTGTAATTTTTAGAGATTATTTTTTAATTACTTAAAAAACAATTATCTGCCATATATATATTACATTAATAATTAATTAATAATTAATAATTACTTCAAAATATCAAATATTCATAAATTACAATGCACCACTAATATCAATTAAAAATATTAAATATTCTTTTTTTTAATAATTTAAAAAGTAAAGTTGGATTGAGTTAGAATTGTTTATTCAAGTCGGTCAGAGTTACGACAAAAAAAAAACATCAACTCACAAAATGATTTAATTTTTTTTTAAAAAAATTTTAATCTAATCCAAATAATATATATATATATATATATATAAATAACCCAACTTTTATGGTTTGAATCGGTAGTTTAGGGGTCGAATTCTCGGCTCATATTAATATCTTTGTAATTTTAGACTCATTAATTATATTCAAAACTATTATGGGAGGGTCCCTCGTAAAATGGGCCGAGTAGCTAACCCATCACAAAGAACACATGGGCCTTGAAACAGCCCAATGGGCCTAAAATACTATTGATTATAAGTCAAGCTAGCCCAACCTTCCATAAATAATCATGGACTTAGCTCATTGAGTAAAAAATTGAAAATTCTGAGTTAGGTTGGAATTGGCCAAATAATATTACTTTTCAAATCATAATTTATCACAACTAAACAACTTTATATTTTCAATTCTATTTCTTGCAAATACGTTGGCTTCTTTTTCCCTACAAATTTTAGTACATGTTGGATGTCCTTTAATTTGTTGATTTGGTTTAACACTGTCCTATTAGAATACAATGTTTTGCTCTTAACGCACATACATGTGTGTGTATATATATACACCAAATATTATAAATAATTTTAGAAGTCAACATTAATAACATAATTATTATAATCACATTACAAAAATCTCATTCGGTTTAAGTGTTAGAGCCTTACCGAGGCTACCTCAATAAGGTGAAAAATTGTCATTTAAGATAGAGAATGTCAACGGGAGAGATTTTTAAAGATGAAGATCAAAATGAATTAGACAAGTAAATATTTTTAATCAAAAACTTACTTTTACCAAACATATATATAAAACACACATATATAGTAAATATATACATAGCCTGAATTAATGTAGGATTTATAGATGTCACTTATAGAAACTTTTATGGCAATTTCCTAATCATAACGGATAAATACATTCCAAAACCAAAACCAATTTACAAGGATGGTTAGATAGATACATTAAAATTTCCAAATATAAAAGAAACACAAACTTGCCTTCAAGAACTGTTGGATGAAAGTGTCGCACCTTGCTTAATTTAGGGAATGATCATGGGTTTATAGTCTAAGAATACATTCCAAAACCAAAACCAATTTACAAGGATGGTTAGATAGATACATTAAAATTTCCAAATATAAAAGAAACACAAAGTTACCTTCAAGAACTGTTGGATGAAAGTGTCGCACGTTGCTTAATTTAGGGAATGATCATGGGTTTATAGTCTAAGAATACACTCTCCATTGGTATGAGACCTTTTGGGGAAGCGCAAAGCAAAGCCATGAGAGCTTATGCTCAAAGTGAACAATATCATACCATTGTGGAGAGTCAAACAAAGGACTCCAGAAAGAAGGAGTCAAGCCTACTCGAAGGCAGTAAAAAATGACTACTGGAGAGGTGTTGGATGAAAGTGGAGAGTTTGTTCGACTAACGAGAACTCCCTCCCATAAAGGATTCAAAACTCTCTCTCCCTCCCTATAGAAAGTTAAATGCATCCATCTAAAATAATGAAGATGAAAATAGAGCACACATTTATGAAGAATTGACTCAGAAAGCTCCGTGCAGATGGGGGCAGTTGTATTCCTTAATTACTCACACCCATCCTTTTTCCCTCCCTCTCCCTCCAATTATAGAATGAATACTTCCAAAACAGACTAGGAGAAGCTACCTCTTTCCACCTAACTTTCCCCTACTCTTCTTCTTCTTCTCAAACTTCCCCCTTACAAGCTCATTAAAGTTGCCAATAAAGTCTTAATTTCACAGATTTAGCAGTTGTGTCTAATGGGTTTGGGACCCAGAAAGAAAAAAAATATATATACAGAAATCATACAGAAAACCCTTTTTCACACATTCTATGAAAGAAAACACTGAACTGAAACCCACTAATCTTATAAAGTACTCATCTGAAAGAGAAGTGGAAGATGGTACCATTTTGATACTGATACATCCCACAATGTCGATTCCCTTTCTGTTTTTTTCCCCGGAGAGTTTGAATGAATTTGATTCGGCGTCTCTCCAACTTTTCTGAAGCAATCAAATAATATCGAGAGCATAATTAGATTACAAATCAAGCAGCTTATTCCACATTTCTTTCTAAGCCATTTTTTGGGTCAGCCATTGATGGCAATATCCCTTCTTAATTCCTCTACCCAGATATGCAGTCAGTCAATCTCTCTCTCTCTCTCTCTCTCTAAAGTGAAAGATTAGATGCAGTGGAAGATCTACTAATCATGCATGGTTATTTAATTTACACAGTGGTGGGCAGTACCAGCAGGTCTATAAACTCACATGCACAGCCAGCTTTCAGCAGTTCTTTGTCTTCATTTTTTGTTCTGCAAACTTCCTTCACAGCAAATCATGTTGACTCACTATTTCTTCTTAATTAATACACAAATAAGTTGCTCAGAGAGTTTCCTGTTCTACCCTAAATTTACAAATTGCAAGGCTCTGTACATAAGAATTTCCACGCCAAAGACTTTTTTTGGCTATTGATGCTGCCTATGTGAGCACTTACATTTTGCACGATTATCTGTAAGTGTCTGGACCAAAATCAACAAAGGATAAGGAAAAGAATGGTGGTGGCAACTTTTATCATATACATGTGAGTCTAGTCAGTTATAAATTTATTATTACCTGGACCTGTTTCTGAAGGCCTTTTATGTACTCAACTGCCAAATCTAACATGTCTGATGTGTTGGTTTGCTGTGGTGAGAAAGAGAGAAATACTTTAGCTCAACTTTTACCAACTTTTATAAGAGTAAAGTGAAAAGAAAGTTACCTTGTCCATGTTGGGCACCAGCTCTTGAAGCTTCCTCATTCGTTCACTGATTTTAGTTCGTCTGACCTGAAAGTTTTCAGTAAAGGGAATGACTTCGTTTACTATCTAGGTACATATCCGGGTTCGGATCTTAATTTATACAAGGACATGGACATTCCTAAAAGATGTTATGTTTTTAGTTAATGCAGTAAAGGATTCTTTCCCATTTCCTTGAGTCACGTACATGAGTTAGCCCACTTATAAGGTCTCTTTTGGGTATTCCCTTTTAGGCTTTCCCGCAAACTTTTAAAACGTGTCTGCTAGGAAGAAGTTTTAACACACTCATAAAGAATGTTGTGTTCTCTTCCTCAACCAATAAAGGATCTCACATGAGATCGTCAGCAGATGGCTTAGACAGATCCGAGAATCTCAACCCAAGTTGCAAATTATATTCTAAATGCAGTGGGTTTTGGAAATAAAATACATACAGCTAATGGTTACGAATAAGAGAAAATATGATTAACTGTACAATATATCCTGACTTACTCTCTCTGCAATGCTTCTGGGATGAGTAGCACAGCCACGCTTGGCTCGAAGTTTACAAGGAACAGAATCTGAAAACTGCAAGATCTTTTCAACAGCATTCATTTCTGCTGCAGTACTTGGCAAAGTAAGATGACGAGCAAGCATGGGAGGGCGATTTCTGGGATCCACTTTCTGAGTTTTCAAGCAAAACAATAAAGATGAGACCAATCAGAATCAGATATCAAGAAGAACAATCACAATGAACTTGAAATAGCTAATACCTGAGTGTCTGAAATGTTCAAATTTGAGTACTTCTCCTTGTCGTCGTCATTTTCAAGTGCTTTTCGACTAACAATGTTATCAGACATGACAGCACATTCATCCCAAGAACCAACTGGGAAGCTAGTACTACCATAATCGCTGGTTTGGCTTCCGGCAAAGCCTTTAGTATCTTGATTGGTTTCTCTGATTTTTTTTTTCTCAATTCCAGCCATGGGACTCATCAACCCTGAAGAGTGCGGTGGTAAGGCCCTTGGTGAGAAATTTTTCAACCTGCTTGGAGAAGAAAAAAATGTTTCTTCATTAAAGCTACTACCAGTTCCAGAATTTCCCAAGCCCGTCAATGCAGCATATCCTGCCAGTTGCTAAGAATCTTCAGCACCATGTGGGAGTATAGGAAACTAAATTCTAGTATGAGAAACAGACCAGAGATCATAGAAAATCAATATGGTTATTGTAGCAACAAAGTCTCAGTTGAATAAATCAATTTTGTTTTAACCCTAATCAGAATCTGAGACCAGAGAAGAAAACTTCAATTTTACTAGGATTTTCCATTCATTCAGGTGAAAAGATTACACTACCGCTAGCATTGAGATTTATGTAGTCGAATAGTCCAGCAGGGGAGCTACTTTGCCGAATGAGATTCGAAGATCTTCCACCATCTGTTCTTATCTGAGGCTTCAGATCAACTCCCATCGAACCAGATCCCTCCGCTTCTGGAATCAAATTCTGATTTGGAAGTGGAGGTTTCATCAAATTCTGATGGTAACTTGATGGAGTTGATGAAGCCGGGAGGAAATTGCTGTTGACAATGCTCGGCTGCTGGTGGATAGCTCTTGTTTCGTTATTCACATAAGGTGTTTGTTGATTTGCTTCAGTAGTTATATCTCCAGCCTGAGCGTTCTTCTGAGACTCGTCCAGGTTCTGAGATGAACATACTGGACCGCCGCCTCCATCACCAGCGCTGCCGCTTGTCATAAACTGCGCGAAAATCTGTTCAGTTTCGGGGCTCGAAGGTCGATTGAAAAACTGATCACAGAATTCTCTGTCCGTCAGTCTTCTGAAATACGAACTCGGCGCAGAACGGTATCGTGTCAATCCAGAACTCATCTGCGGTTGCTGCTGCTGATGTTCATGGAGAATATGCTGCTGTTGCTGAAAATCCGCCTCCATTTTTCGTCCTCCTTCCTCCAGCTCGCCTTCAACTACACTAACAGTAACAGACCTTAAAACAATACGAACCTTTCGGAAACAACTTCTAGTTCTTCTTCTTCTTCAGTTCTTCAATTATGCCAAATTTTCAGTCGGCACCAACCAAAACAAAATGCCAAAAAAGCACCAATGCAATCAAATCCACGAAAAAACTCTGTTTCATCCGACACAAAATAACGTCGCAAACCATCAAATTCCCTCACTAACAAAGCGTATAGAAACACAACTTCAAGTGGACCACCTGATCCATAAACAACGAAACAAACAGAACTCGATTCAACTCAAATCCAATCAAGAACACATGACCGTAAAAAGAAAAGCAGAGAGCAGAGCACCGCAAAAAATTCCGAGCCTCATTCACGTGCAAATCATCTTTAAATAAAAATAAAAAATAAATAAAAACTCACTCACTCCATTCGTGAACGTTAAGCAAAAACAACAACTATCAAATCAAACCGCACCAAATCTTTCCACGGGTGAACACGAAAAAAAAAAACATCAAATCAACACCGAACAAAAAAGATTCACAATTCAAAATGAAACAACAACAACAAACACAACATACCAAAATCTCATAATTTCCTGTCTAGCAATAAAAACACACACCTGTCTCCACAGCTACAGCAGCGGCCGGCAAAACCAATCACAAATTCCCCGGCACGGCGGGAAGATTCGAGAGAGAGAAAGAGACAGAAACGAAATGAAAATCAAATGGCGTTTTTGCTTTCTTTTCTGTTCACTAAAACTAAACCAATGGTAAGTAAAGAGAGCGTCCAAGAATATAGGCCCTCAGATTGTGTATGTTTGTGGAGTGACAAAATTACAAAAATACCCTTCCTTCTCAGGGGTATTTACGGGAAGGGAACTTATTGGATAAAAAGGAATGACTGGGTTGGTTCCACGTCAGCAAGTATGTGAGAGTGGTCCACGTGGGGCTCCGTGAATGGACCACAAAATCGATTCCGTTTTCGGTCATAATATCAAATAAACTCGACGTAGAATTATATTAAGAAATTTATTTCCTACAAAAATCATTTAATATCTATGTTTTAATCTCCATTAATATCTGTCGTTTTTTTATTCCTTTATCTGATAAATAATAATTTTTAAAAATTGGATTTATTTTAAATATTATCTCAATCAAAAAGATTAAAATCATCTAAAGTTTATATTTCAAATCAATTAGTAAATATAATAGAAAAATAAATTTATTATTATTTTCAAAATACTCGAATAGCGACAAAAAAAAAAAAAAAAAATAAA